TTCCGTGAATATTCTGTAATAAATAATAATAATATCAGTTTTGTACAAAATACTATTAATTCTATCACTAGTAATATAAATTTCAGTATAATTATTATAGATATTATAGAATATGTTAAGTTTGCATGAACTAGTTTACTTTTTTAACAAGTTTTCTGTAATTTGACTACTACAGGACAAGAGGTTGCAGGTTGATAGATTATCGATAATTAAAATTTGAGTTTTTAAATATTCAGAAATTTCAGTAATTTATATAAGTTTTGAATGTGAAAAACATCGTTCTACATTTTCAATTCAGGCAAGCTGTTGCGTTGTTTTGAATTTTTTAGTAACATTATTTTGTCGGCATGAATATAAAACGATGGCAGATTTTAGTGTTTTATCAATGAGTGTAAAGCTTGTAAATCCTTTACTAACATATTTTGCATAAAATACATGTAAACACAATCACGCAAGGTCATATGACATTTATTTTCCACTCTTTAAATTTATACTCTATAGCAGGGGTGTCCAACCTTTTTGTTTAATGGCCACATTGGAAGAAGTCATGGAGTTTTGGGCCACAAGTATAATACATATATACTTGTGGCCCAAGTATATTTTGGCCAAATCCTTAAATATACAAGTATATTTAAGAACTAACATGTCTAGATTATAGTAATAAGCATTAAAACTTTATTACTAATAAGGATATTTTTAAAAAATTACTTCTACAGACACTTTCAATTTTTATTTAGAAATAAATAAATTCATTTATTATAAAGGAGATAAACAAAAATTTATTTGAAAAACACAAATATTTGTTTTATTTGGGTCTCTAATTAATAAAAAGTGAAGAAACACCATTTTAAAGTGCATTTTTATTCAACTAATATATTTATAAATAATGTGTAACCCGAAAAGTAGCCAATGCGTCAAATGATATTTTTTACGCCAAACTAATAAAAGGGTAGCCAAATTTGGCGCAAAGTAGGCAAATCTTGCAACTCTGGAAGGAGTACTAAATAAAGTTGAGGTTGGGACTCAAAAGATTATAGACCCAAAGCAAGAAAAGAAGAGAAAAGACCCAAGATAAAAAAGTGAGGAAAGTTGAAAAATTAAGGGTCAATATTTGCATAACAAAAGGTATATTTAACCTTTCTCATTTAACAAGAAAAAGCTTTATTCGTATATTTAACCTTTCTCATTATATTTTTTTCTTTCGGCCTTTCTCTCCTTTCCCCGAATTTGTGTCTATACTCCTTTGATTCACAACTTCAGCTATATTTAATATACCTTCCTCATTCACACATTTCTAAGTTTTTGAAAATGTTTCCTTTCCACTTAAAATTAAAGTATGTGTAAAGATTTACTGCTTTGCGAAACGTCTTTTTTTAATCTGTGCCGTTGAAATAAATAAATAAATAAAATAAAACAAATAAATCTGTCGGTTTTGTTTACACGTTTATTGGGCCGCATTGGAATGGGCCGCGGGTTGGACACCCCTGATCTACCCGAATTAATCCATATTAGGTAGTAATTGAGGTAGTATTGGTTAATGAAAAATGGGTTCAGCTAGAAATGAATTTCAGCGGCTGATAAACAACATCGAAAATGTGACATGGGTCCAGGAGACCCACAGAATCAGTTATATTTCTACTATATTTGTATATATGACAGATTGACATTGTAACCATTCATTACTCGAATTTATAATCATCAGCCTGAATTAATCCAAATTAGAATTGATAGTAAATTAAACAGAGATTTTGAAGTGAACACATTTTCCTGTAATTGAATTTAATATACAAAATAATCTTTATATCTTCGTGTAACTTTATTACAGCAGATAAAAATATTAATACACTATGTGTATTTATATTTATAAGAATAATAACTTCAACTTACATTTTGAAATTTGCTGACATCATTTGCTACAAGATTTACCATTTGCCCAACATTCGATTTTTCAAGAGATGAAGGACTTAACCTCATTGCCTATAAAAATTTATATATAATAAATAAACATTCTCAAAAATATGTTATGTTCCAATAACAAAGTAATTTATAACAAAGTTGTTACACAAAGAAATGAAATAAAATTATCTAACTTTTTCAACAAGTTTTGCCATTATTTGAAGTAATATTAAATAACGGGTTAATTAAGTGCTTGGCATCACAAATACACTACTTTTTTCTAAATTGGGAAAAATTGGCATGGCATTAAAAACTACACTTATAACTTCAATTTCTGTATTTTGCGTACTGTCTAACAATATAAAATTTTTCTTGATTCAAATAATGAATTTTTATGTTTATTTTTTTAATTTTTTTAAAAAACACGAAAAATACATGTATCAATGTTCAAATTGCTACAAATTAACTCGATACTCGAGTGAAATTTAAGAAGATTTAACTGTCAAAGTCAAAATAACAAAGCTTTCTTTATTGTCTCCTGAGAAAATAATACACAAAACTTTAATAGGCATAAACAAGGCTAATAAACTGCTAAATGTTTTAGTACTCTATAAACAAAAACTCTTGGCTTTATTTTAGCTCGTTCGAATAGAATTAATTGTTTTATTATACTCAGAAAAATGTTAAAACATTTAATAACCAATGAGCCAGAAGTAATTTCTATGATGTCATTTTAATACTTTGTTGTAAGTTTGTTGCACAATTTAATATATTAGATATACAAATTAAAAAGTACCTAATGATCAAAGTATTACAATAAAAACGTCAAACTTGTACACGATTTGATAGCTAACGCGTGTAAAACAGAAAACTTGGCATTTGGTAAAAATAAAAAATGCTTAAATTAAGAGCTTTATAAGTTAAAAACTCTTAATGAAATTACGAAATACAGAGTTTGGTGAAGGTACTGAATAGCATAACAACATAATAAACAAAAATATTAATAGTCTGAAAGCAGAATGTACTAAATGTTTTACAATGATAGTCTATCATCCTGAAAAAGCCACGTAACAAGACTACAGGCCGAAAATTCCGTTGTCCAAGCAAAGGCAATATCAAATTAGAGACATTAAAACAACAAAATTTGTAAATAATGAAAAATAGTTATTTTAATTTATCTTGTAATAAGACACATAAAGTAATATTGTTTTCAATTACTTTTGTGATCATCGTTGAATTATAAATTTTACAAAGTAATTCTAACAGATCAAATGAATAATAAATAGATTGACAACATTATAAAGCAAATTATAAAGATTATAAAATTCATTTATTATCTTTACTTAACTTATCATTTACTCGCATATCTCCTACGCCTTATCGACGACCCCTCTCTTCTCCTCCACTCGACCTGATAAACAGGATTTCGACCCCTCGGGATCGAAACCCGTAAACAAGCCATTCCCTGGCAAGTGGGCAAAACCATCAGGTACCCACAATCTTTACTTAAGTTAACCGTATAAATAGTTCATTATCAGCAATCAGTTTCAGAATATTATTTTCAGGAAAGCACATTCAAGTAGTACGATATATAACATATATATACAGTAATGTGTCAGTTTACGTTAACCGTGTAAGACAACACTTGCCTATGTTAATAAAGATAAAAGAAATATTGACATGTAAAGATATGTTTCCAAAATAATATAAATTGCTATTTATTTAACTGAGACTTACTTGGAAAATGCAAAAAACACTAAATTTTACATATTTATATTTAATAACGTGGTACAGAAGTTTTAAGATGTGACAATTTAAGTACATTTAAGCGTACTTTTTTGTTTATGGTAAAGACAAATATCAAATTGAAAAACGCTTTCGTGCATTTTCATTTTTATATGTACTCTTTGGTTTTGTACGGAGCCAGCACAGAAGTCCGAAGGGCTCATTTTGTTAATTTGCTATTGTCATCGTTTCTTTGTGTCCAACGACTACAGAACTAATTTTGCTACATTGCAGTTAGGGCATCCAGGGAATCAAATCATATAAATAATTGCACATACATAAATTGTCAAAAGCGAGGCCATTTCTATGGCAGTAGCCCACCAATATTTTTATCATCATGTCACCTTTGCTTATTATAGTCATTGACAGTGGCAGATCCTATTAAAATATTTATGCACTTAACATGAAAACAACACAAAAGTAAATTGAACATTTTGTATCCATGTTAATTAAATTTAATTCTTTAATGCGAACATAAAACCCCGTATTAATAAAGTGTGTAAATTAACAACGAATCATAATTTTTTGTACAAAACTTAAGCACAACAAATCTTTTATTTGAAAAGGTATTTTTTCTGAAGCATGTAAATATAATAATATATCCATAATACATTATAATTGATACTCACTTTTCTATATATAATTGTGCAAAAAGCTATCTTTAATTTCATTCCAATTAATTCTGTTATAATAAAACCAGCATTATATGATACCAAATTAATCGCAACCATGACAAAATATCCGGCAATGATTAAGTAAATATTGTATGAATTCCATTCCGACCTATTTTCAAAATAATGTACTGTTAATCCTAAAAAGTATAATTCTCCTGCAACTACCGCCGTTTCCTGCAAATGTACATAAATATCAGTTATTTAAATTATTTTCATAATGATTAACGTTTAAGCGAAACAATTGTGAAGTACCTGAATCAATGTAAGTAAAGTTAATGTTAAGAATTTCCATCCAACTAATCGTAATACAGCTTTCAGTACGTTTGGATCTTTCTTCTGTAGTTCTTCGTTCCACTCTCTGATAAAATATTGCAATGAAACGTAATAAATTAAAACAATATTTTTAATAAATATTTTAATTATTCTTAATTTATAACTTATTAATAGCGCTTTTAATACTATTATTTTATTATGAAAATACTATAACGATTTATTAATCCGGCACCAGTTAATATGAAGTCTGTCAATTAATAATTATTCGTGCTAATAATGTTCAAATCAAAATGTGTTTGAACATGTAGTGTGCTAAGACTCCAAGAAACAAGCGAAACCGATTTGCAGAGTGAGGCTGTGCGACGATGCTACATGTCACAAAATGGACGTAATCTTAACTCAGCATAGTCATATATATATATATACACATATACACTAGTAGATAAGCAAGGCGTTGCCCTGACCAAAAATAACAACACCAATGATTAAAATTAGAAGCGTGAAGTAATCGAATACATTATTTCGTACTTGTAATCCTTTTATTATATTACATTATGGTACTTGATTTATATAACTGCAAAGGTTATCTTATGTAAGGGTTTATCACACCGATTGACCAATGTAACACATTTTAAAAATTCTTTAAATTCTTTACAATAGAGAAATATAAATATTTTAAAATGTGTTAGATTGGGTAATTTGTGTGATAAATCCTCACGTAAAATAACCTTTGTAGTTATATAAATTAAATATTATAATATAACAACCATTAAAACGAAAACCATAAAAAGAATTTGGTTATTTCAGTCTACAATTGTCACGTTTATTGGGATACTGGGACAGTTCAAAATGGCACAATTTCATTGGTCATATAGACACCAATTAAAAATACGATTCACATATCATATTTTTTCCTAATGTTAACTCTAACAAACTGTAGTATTCACAGGAGAATATCAAATGGTATTCTGCCAAACAATCAAATTCCGCGAAAAACAGACCAAATTTTTAACCTCGACACCCACAAAAACAACTTAAAATAGATTTTGTGCTCACTGGTAACATTGTAATATGTAATTTTCCTATTCGAATGCCACCACAATACTGGTCTGACAGAAAGAAACAATTTTTGCTGAAGAGGGTTGAAGTAATTCGACCAAAAGTAGTACTAGACCTTTTCCGTGAAGATAGAATAATCAACGACTACTAATTAATATCGGTCTTCTATTAATAGGAGGTTGCAGCTGAAGTTTTCAACGCAAAAACGTAAACGTCAGACATTCACGTTTTCGCGTTAAAACTTAGTAAACTGAAAACGTTAATAATTAAAACTTTTCTTTAAGCGAATGCATAGGTGATTGCAAATTGTAATAATTATACTGTACTTAGTTTATTATTTTGTTAAAAAGTTTGCCAATAGATGGCGGTACGTAACCTACCCGAGTTATCTCGGGTCCGGATGGCAAGGGTTTTAATTAAATTAATTAAACCCCAGGGAGTTTTCAGGGTACCATCTGACTATATCAGGTTTTGTCTTACAGCACTGATTGCATGGATTTCAGCCTAGCCTAACCCATAAGGAATTTACAACAAACATTCTCTATCTACCCACACAGTAAAATCGGTTTTAGAAATTAGAATTTAAAAAAATCATTTACAAAACGCAATACTGTTATTTATGTTTTGAATAAAAATCTGAAATATTGTAATCAGTTTTCAGGAAACAAACATTATAAATTTTCTTTTGAAGATAAAAGTCTTCTATAGCTTTATGAAACTTAAGATACACGGTCATGTTTTTTTAAGTAGCGAAATACTTAGAATGTTTATTAATAAAACATACAGTCTTAGACAATTTTCTTATATCACATAACAACTATTTCACGCTTATATATACCATAGGTATAGGCACTCATGTTGACGAGAAATATAAGCATTGGAAAGTACTAGGAATTTTATAAACGTTTATAATCAATTATCGTCCGATAAAACGGTGTAATAAATTATTAAAAATTATACGGTCGTTATTTTTTGAAGAAAAAAAAAACAGAATAAAAGCAATTATATAAAACTTACATAAGCAATAATTACAAAATTAGCATGGTACAGGTAAATACCACAATACCTAAGTTATCTATAATCAGTTTCATTACAAGTGATGAGAGTACTTGTGATTTAAAAAAATAATATTCTCCTTATCTCTTTTGGCTAATTTAGACAAGTGGTCAGATTAATCAGAATAAACATTAGAAGATGGTTAACTTACTTCTGAAGCATATTTCCAAGATATTCTGAACCATGATATTTGGAAATTTCATATAAATCTTTTTCTTTTAAATGTTGCTTTGTTCCTTTGATTATTATTGGAAAAAGCCAACTGAAAAATAAATAAATTATTTTTTATTATTCAATGCAGTTATTTTTTTCTACAGATCCTTATTATCGTTAAAATCTCATGAAAAACAATAGATAATATTTATAAATACATATCAACAATTAGTGTCAATATTCAAGCAACAAGTGCAAATTTCCAAAAACACACAATGAAAAATTATTGTTTATGTATGTATGTCTCTTTATTCCGACATTAAGTTCGGTAGACTATCATTACAACTTTCAGGTTAGACACTTCTTTTATTGTTTCGACATATGCATTTCGGACTTATATAAATGTTAAGTCCTCTTCAGTGCAGAAGACAGAATCATAGTATTACACTGAAGAGGGATTTAACATTTATATAAGTCCGAAATGCATATGTCGAAACAATAAAA